TTAAGATTTGTCGTAGCTCTCCGGGTGAAGTCAAATGGGGAGAGTGGCGGCGTTGGGGGCGATCGTCACGAGGGGTCTCACGAGCGGTCCGGAGAGCCCCGAAGTCGATCGCAACGGAGAATTAACTGGGACGTCGATAACGTCACCGTCACCGCTAACGTCACCACTGACGTCGCATCACCACCACTAACATCACCATTGCTAACATCACTCGCATCAACACCACTCACATCACTATCACCACCATTCACTATCACATACCTGTCAACCCCTTATCAGTGCCCTACTTTATTACAGACCAATTCAGAGGCCTTATTGGTCACCCCGTGCCCCTTATAAATCTCAACGTTCATCCCACATCGTCCCATCACAAGGGAGAAACAGACACTTCTTTTCCCGTATTGAAACGGCTGTACGCCGTATAGAACTGAAAACTCAATTTCCCTGTACAAGAATACGGGTAAACCGTATGGGTTGACAGGTATGATATAATCACTCACATCATCACTATCATCGCTCACATCGCCACCATCACTATCATCACCGTACCTCAGCCACAGACCACCTCAAACGCACGGAGTGACGATTTCACGCCGGTCGTGTAGCCTTCCGTACGTGCCGATGTCTTCCTGGCAGCCGTTGACGCCGACCCAACGAGCTGCCTTCTCTTGAGACGTTTCCGACCGTACGACTATCGTAACCTGCCGGATTTACCAGAAATCTTAAGAACGTTTTCTGTACTCGGGGCCCCTGTGGGCTGTGAGTCTCGTAGACACACACACTGACGCTGTGAATCTCGTAGACACACACACTGGGGCTGTGAGTCTCGTAGACACACACACACTGAGGCTGTGAATCTCGTAGACACACACACACATTGGCTGTGAGTCTCATAGACACACACTGGGGCTGCGAGTCTCGTAGACACACACACTGAGGCTGTGAATCTCGTAGACACACACACACACATTGGCTGTGAGTCTCATAGACACACACTGGGGCTGTGAGTCTCGTAGACACACACACTAGGGCTGTGAGTCTCGTAGACACACACACACTGAGGCTGTGAATCTCATAGACACACACACACACACATTGGCTGTGAGTCTCTTAGACACACACTGGGGCTGTGAGTCTCGTAGACACACACACTAGGGCTGTGAATCTCATTGGGGCTGTGAGTCTCATAGACACACACACACACTGGGACTGTGAGTCTCATAGACACACACACACACACATTGGCTGTGAGTCTCATAGACACACACTGGGGCTGTGAGTGTCGTAGACACACACACTATGGCTGTGAATCTCATAGACACACACGCACTGGGGCTGTGAGTCTCGTAGACACAGACACACTGGGACTGAGTCTCATAGACACACACATATTGGCTGTGAGTCTCATAGACACACACTGGGGCTGTGAGTGTCGTAGACACACACACTAGGGCTGTGAATCTCATAGACACACACACTGGGGCTGTGAATCTCGTAGACAAACACACACTAGGGCTGTGAATCTCGTAGACACACACACACACATTGGCTGTGAGTCTCATAGACACACACACACACACATTGGCTGTGAGTCTCATAGACACACACTGGGGCTGTGAATCTCGTAGACACACACACACAGGCTGTGAGTCTCATAGACACACACACACTGAGACTGTGAGTCTCGTAGACAAACACACACTAGGGCTGTGAGTCTCAGACAGTTTTTCACAGCTGTTAGCGCGCTGCGCTACGAACCTAGTGACTCGAATCCCATTGCCGCTCACGGCCACAGACACCAGTGACGATGATCTGAACCGGTCCTCGGTCTCCCCTCGATCGATTTAGCCTCAAATTAGTACCTGGTGAGGTGTGTGAACGCCATTGGAGAGACAAAGGTGGCCAGGCGTGGTTGTTGACCACCCACCCCCTCGTGTGCCGTGTCGGCCTTCATAGGTACTCGCAAACAGCACTTGCCCTAAGTCTGTTATGGCTATACGGGGGGGGGGGGGGCGGGGGGCGGGATCTTTGTTGTGTTGTCTTTGTTTCTATTTAAGCGGTGCTGATTTAACGTTCTGTGTTTGTGCCGCTCACAGAATCGCTGTGCTGCGCCGCGTCCGTCTCCCGTGTTCCGTCAACTTTGATCAAATTAAATTATTATTCACTTTGGTCTTGGGCGGCCGCAAGTCGTTACGAAGGCGCCAGCCAAGGGCACCGCGTGCTGCCTCGACGGGACAGCAGTCCCTCGGTTATCGGCGACATCGGTTTATCGGTTTTTTTTTGGTTAACGTTTCGCCTCCCATACATTGCGTTTTGGATAGATGGAAACAGCTCTCGCTCCGATTAACAGTTATTTCGGTTGGCAGTAGTTTCCGTGGAACGGGTTAAATGCATCGACCGAGGGGCCTACTGCACTAGGAAGTGGAGATAATACTGTGTAGCAACCTCCTGGTTACACCACCAGCCCACAGGGGATTATTGTGTCCGTCCGTCCGTCCGTGGTGCATCCAAAAATGGGAGGGGTGGGGCTTGGTGGAGAGGGGTGGGGAGGGTGGGGCTGGGTGGGGAGGGTGGGGCTGGGTGGGGGGTGGGAGGGGTGGGGCTGGGTGGGGAGGGGCTGGTCACCCCGTGGTGCCCTTATAAAACTCAACGTTTAACCTACTCACGCCGGCTTGTGCCCGCCCTCAGTCGGTCATATTGTGCGGAATACACCACGTGGTGCCGCCGCCGTTGACCCTGGCCATTGACCGACAACCCAACGTTCCTACCAGCTCCCTTCGCAGGAATTTGTTGATGAGTCCGTTCCATTGGCACAGCGCCCTGCCGTGGCGCTACCACGACGGAATGGGATGGGGCCACCTGGGGCTGTGAGTCACGGTAGTTCTCTGCAGTGAGTGCAGCAGCTGCTACCACCGTGGTGGAGCAGTGGGGAGCAGCGCACGCCTGTGACCTGCAAGCCAGAAGTTCGATTCCATCTCCCCCGCACGCGGCAGTGGGAACAATGGGGGGGGGCGATTTTCTTAAATCCGCACTTCGCCCAGATACACAAAACCACTGCACCACTACCACACTCACCCAGTACTCACCGCCATCGCTACACTCACCAAGTACCACCATCGCTACGCTCACCAAGTACCACCATCGCTATGCTCACCCAGCACTCACCACCATCGCTATACTCACCACCATCGCTACACTCACCTAGTACTCACCATCATCGCTACACTCACCACCATCGCTACACTCATCACCATCTCTACACTCACCACCATCGCTACACTCACCAAGTACTCACCACCATCGCTACACTCACCCAACACTCACCACCATCGCTACACTCACCCAGCACTCACCACCACCGCTACACTCACCCAGTACTCACCACCATCGCTACACTCACCCAGTACTCACCACCATCGCTACACTCACCACCATCGCTACACTCACCACCATCGCTACACTCACCACCATCGCTACACTCACCACCATCGCTACACTCACCACCATCGCTACACTCACCAAGTACTCACCGCCATCGCTACACTCACCCAGCACTCACCGCCATCGCTACACTCACCCAGTACTCACCACCATCGCTACACTCACCCAGTACTCACCACCATCGCTACACTCACCCAGTACTCACCACCATCGCTACACTCACCTAGTACTCACCACCATCGCTACACTCACCCAGTACTCACCACCATCGCTACACTCACCCAGCACTCACCACCATCGCTACACTCACCCAGCACTCACTGCCATCGCTACACTCACCCAGCACTCACTGCCATCGCTACACTCACCAGACACGGGCGACACAGCCACTACCACAATCAGGAGGAGCTTTATTTAAATTAAACCTCGCCCAGATACACAAAAAAGACAAAGATCCCCCCTATAGCAAAAAGAGACTCTTGGGGCAAGTGCTGTTAGAAATGCCAAACACAGCACACGAGCGGGTGGGTGGCCAGCACAACGCCCTACCGCCTTTGTCTTCCCAGAGCTGATGTTGTTCACACACCGCACGAGGTACTCATTTAAGGCTGAGTCAACCTAGGGGAGTCCCAGAACAAGTGCAGGTGTTGGTGGCTGTGAGCGAGAATCGAACTCGGATCGCCGGGTTTGTAGCGCAGCGCGTTAACCAATGCGCTACCGTTCCTCACGACCACCACCACACCCACCACCACCACACTCACTACGAATCACCACCACGCTCACCAGAAACTCACCCAGACCCTCCACCAACATTCACCCAGCACTCTCAACCCTGCTTATAATTCACTCTCCAGCCTCACCATTCACTCAGGGGAAGGGGCGGAGTGAGGGGAAGGGGTGCGGAGTGAGGGGAAGGGGGCGGGGGGAGGGTAGTGAGGGGAAGGGGGCGGGGGGAGGGTAGTGAGGGGAGGTGGGCGGAGTGAGGGGAAGGGGGCAGGGGGCGGAGTGAGGGGAAGGGGGCGGAGTGAGGGGAAGGGGGCAGGGGGCGGAGTGAGGGGAAGGGGGCGGAAGTGAGGGGAAGGGGGCAGGGGGCGGAGTGAGGGGAAGGGGGGCGGAGTGAGGGGAAGGGGGCGGGGGGAGGGTAGTGAGGGGAAGGGGGCGGGGGGAGGGTAGTGAGGGGAAGGGGGCAGGGGGCGGAGTGAGGGGAAGGGGGCGGGGGGGAGGGTAGTGAGGGGAAGGGGGCGGGGGGAGGGTAGTGAGGGGAAGGGGGCGGGGGGGAGAGTAGTGAGGGGAAGGGGGCGGGGGGAGGGTAGTGAGGGGAAGGGGGCGGAGTGAGGGGAAGGGGGCGGGGGGAGGGTAGTGAGGGGAAGGGGGCGGGGGGAGGGTAGTGAGGGGAAGGGGGCGGAGTGAGGGGAAGGGGGCGGGGGGAGGGTAGTGAGGGGAAGGGGGCGGGGGGAGGGTAGTGAGGGGAAGGGGGCGGGGGGAGGGTAGTGAGGGGAAGGGGGCGGGGGGAGGGTAGTGAGTAGTCACCCCCCTCCCCACTCTCTTCCCCCCCCCACTCTCTCTTCCCCCCCCCCACTCTCTCTCCCCCCCCTCTTCCTCCATCTCTGCCATCACCCCCGCCGGATGAACTTGATGTACCACATGGCAGCAGTCGCAGCACTCAGAGAGTACCTGCACACACACACACACAAGACAAAGGTCCCCCGTGTAGCCTTTAACAGACTGTTGGGCCAAGTGCTGTTAGTGAGCACCTATTGAGGCCGGCAACGGCGCATGGGTGGGTGAGCAGCACCACGCCCGGCCGCCTTTGTCTCCCCAATGCGGATGTGTACACGCCACATCAGGTACCCGTGTAAGGCTGAGTAGACCTAGGGAAGGCCCAGGACTGGATCCGATATTCACCGTCACTGTTTTTGGCTGTGAGCGGAAATCAAACTCGGGTCGCCGGGTTCACAGCGCAGAGCGCTAACCGCTGAACTAGCACTTCCAATGCACATGCGTTGTACACACGTATACACACGTGTAATATACACACGTGTAATATACACGTGTGTATGAGTTTGTGTGTGTACCGTGTATACGCACACACACTCAAAAACTCACACGAACCTTGGCACACACACGCGCACTCTCACTGCATGCACACGCACCCGTTGTTGGCGAGCGTGTGGTGAGCGTGTGGTGAGTGGGTGGTGAGCGTGAGTGTGTAGTGAGTGTATGGTGAGTGTGTGGTGAGTGTATTGCGAGTGTGTGGTGAGCGTGAGTGTGTGGTGAGTGTGTGGTGAGTGTATGGCGAGCGTGTGGTGAGCGTGTGGTGAGCGTGTGGCGAGCGTGTGGCGAGTGTGTGGCGAGTGTGTGGTGAGTGTGTGGCGAGCGTGTGGTGAGTGTGTGGTGAGTGTGTGGTGAGTGCGTGGTGAGCGTGTGTGTGGTGAGTGTGTGGCGAGATACCAGGTGAGCGTGAGTGTGTGGTGTGAGTGCGTGGTGAGTGCGTGGTGAGTGCGTGGTGAGATACCAGGTGAGTGTGTGTGGTGAGCGCGTGGTGTGTGTGTGGTGAGCGTGTGGTGAGTGCGTGGTGAGCGTGTGGTGAGTGTGTGGCGAGATACCAGGTGAGCAGGTACTGCATGTGCTCGTTCCTCAGCACCACCTGCGTCTGCCCTCCGATGGGTCCCCCGCGCACCGTGCTACCTGCAACACACACGCTCACCAATCACTCACCGCCACTCACCCCACACACACGCTCACCAATCACTCACCGCCACTCACCCCACACTCATGCTCACCAATCACTCTCCGCCACTCGCCCCACACTCACCAATCACTCTCCGCCACTCGCCCCACACTCACACTCACCAATCACTCACCGCCACTCACCCCACACTCACGCTCACCAATCACTCACCGCCACTCACCCCACACACACGCTCACCAATCACTTACCGCCACTCACCCCACACACACGCTCACCAATCACTCACCGCCACCCACCCCACACACACACTCACCAATCACCGCCACTCACCCCACACACACGCTCACCAATCACTCACCGCCACTCACCCCACACGCTCACCAATCACTCACCGCCACTCACCCCACACACACGCTCACCAATCACTCACCGCCACTCACCCCAAACACGCGCTCACCAATCACTCACCGCCACTCACCCCACACACACGCTCACCAATCACTCACCGCCACTCACCCCACACTCACGCTCACCAATCACTCACCCCACACTCACGCTCACTAATCACTCACCGCCGCTCACCCCACACACACGCTCACCAATCACTCACCGCCACTCACCCCACACACACGCTCACCAATCACCGCCACTCACCCCACACACACGCTCACCAATCACTCACCGCCACTCACCCCACACGCTCACCAATCACTCACCGCCACTCACCCCACACTCACGCTCACCAATCACTCACCGCCACTCACCCCACACACACGCTCACCAATCACTCACCGCCACTCACCCCACACTCACGCTCACCAATCACTCACCGCCACTCACCTCACGCTCACCAATCACTCACCGCCACTCACCCCACACTCACACTCACCAATCACTCACCGCCACTCACCCCACACTCGCTCGCCACCATCGCCCACTTTCACCGGAGACTCGCAGAGCGGATCGGTGACCGGCAGAGAAACTGGTCGAGTGACTGACAGAACGAGTGAGCGACTGACAGAGTTGGAGAGTGACTGAGATTGGGTGAGTGACTGGCAGAGCGAGTGGTGGTGTGAGTGAGTGACTGGTCGAGTGACTGACAGAGCGAGTGAGCGACTGGCAGAGTTGGAGAGTGACTGAGAGTGGGTGAGTGACTGGCAGAGCGAGTGGTGGTGTGAGTGACTGGTCGAGTGACAGAGCAAGTGAGCGACTGACAGAGTTGGAGAGTGACTGAGAGTGGGTGAGTGACTGGCAGAGCGAGTGGTGGTGTGAGTGAGTGACTGACAGAGCGAGTGAGCGACTGAAAGAGTTGGAGAGTGACTGAGAGTGGGTGAGTGTCTGGCAGACCGAGTGGTAGTGTGAGTGAGTAACTGGTAGAACGAATGATTGGACGATTGGGTGACACAGCGAGTGACTAGAGGAGAGAACGGGTGGGTGAGCGAGCGGGCGAGCGGGCGGGCGGGTGAGCGGGCGGGTGAGCGGGCGGGTGAGCGGGCGAGCGCACTCACTGGCGTCGGCGTCGATTAGCACCGGCTGGACGCCCGTGGTGCGCGCCATGGCGCCCACGTCACGGTGGTACCAGCGGTTGTGCCCGGGGTCGTTGTCCGGCGTGAACTGACAGCGCGGCTCGTCCATCCTCACCACGCCCACCAACTCCACCTCACCCTCCACCTAGGCGGAGACAACGCCTCAACGTGCTCACCGCCACCACCCTCGCCAGCTCCCCGACACGGAGACAACGCCTCGCCACTACCACCCTCGCCAGCTACCCTACACGGAGACAACGCCTCGCCACTACCACCCTCGCCAGCTACCCTACACGGAGACAACGCCTCCCCACTACCACCCTCGCCAGCTCCCTGACACGGAGACAACGCCTCCCCACTACCACCCTCACCAGCTCCCTGACACGGAGACAACGCCTCCCCACTACCACCCTCACCAGCTCCCTGACACGGAGACAACGCCTCCCCACTACCACCCTCGCCAGCTCCCCGACACGGAGACAACGCCTCCCCACTACCACCCTCGCCAGCTCCCTGACACGGAGACAACGCCTACCCACTACCACCCTCACCAGCTACCCTACACGGAGACAACGCCTCCCCACTACCACCCTCACCAGCTACCCTACACGGAGACAATGCCCCACCACTACCACCCTCACCACTACCACCCTCACCACTACCACCCTCATCAGCTCCACCTCACCCTCCACCTACACGGAGACAACACCCAACCACCCTGACCACGGCCATTCTCACCCTCCACCTACCTACACACACAGTACCCAAACTCTAGCCCTGGCTCTAACGCCAATGCTGACCCTGGCTCAAACCCTGACCCTGGCTCAAACCCTGACCCTGGCTCTAACTCTGACCTTGGCTCTGACCCTGGCTCCAACTCTTGACTCTGACCCTCACCCCTGACGTGTGGTGCCTGACCCTGGAGTGAGCGGTGCTCACCTGCCCTTCCGGCCGTTTTGCTGGGTCCAGTTTATTCATGGGCACGAAGCCCCTGTCCACCAGGATGGTCACCCTGGAGTGATCAAAGACAAAGATCCCCCGTATAGCCTTGACAGACTGTTGGGGCAAGTGCTGTTAGCGAGCACCTATGAAGGGCGGCGCGGCACACGAGGGGGTCGGTGGCCAGCACCACGCCCGGCCGCCTTTGTCTCCCCAGTGGCGATGTTTACCACACACCGCACCAGGTACTCACTTGAGGCTGAGTCGACCTAGGGGAGGCGCGGTACCGGTTCGGATAATCGTCACTGGTGTTGGCCGTCAGTGGGAATCGAACTCAGATCGCTGGGTTCATAGCGCTGCATGCTCACCGCAACACCACCAGCTACAAAGGCTGACGCACACTCTATAAAACTATTTTTTATTTGACCTGGGTAAAGCCCACTGAGCTATGTAGCTCTTTTGAAAAGCGACCTGGCCACATGACAGCTCGCCCAAGTGGCTTACCATCATCATCGTCATCATCGTGGGGACATTCTAAATGCGGAGGGGAAAAACCGGAGGACCTGGAGAAAAATCCACGCTCATCATCGAGGGAGAGAGAGAGACTCCAAATATACAGCAGCAGGCGTCAAGGTCGGGATCTAATCCACGACCTCCTGCGTACCAGGCGAGGTAGTCAACATCTCCGAGCCACCGTGATGATGATGAGAGACACACAGACTTCCAAATATGCAGCAGCAGGCGTTAGGGTCGGGATCGAACCCACGACCTCCTGTGCGCCAGGCGAGGTAGTTAACATCTCATAGCCACCGTGATGATGATGAGAGAGACACACAGACTCCCAAATATGCAGCAGCAGGCATCAGGGTCGGGATAGAACCCACGAACCCACGACCTCCTGCACACCAGATGAGTACACCTAGCGTGGGTGCGGTGGGGTGCGGTGGGGTGCGGTGGGGTGCGGTGGGGTGCGGTGGGGTGCGGTGCGGCACCCGAGGTCGGTGCAGCGCAGCGGGGTGACGACGTGGGCCCCGCTGCCGGGCCCCAACACGAGCCCCCCCGCCGTGCCGGGGCTCCTCCCGGGCTGGATGAACGATCGCGGCAGCAGGTAGAGCTCCTGGGAGTGGTCAAACTCCCCCCGCACGCGCACGCGCCGGTACTCCAGCCTGCGCAGCTCCTCCACGCTACGTGACAACAACAACAGCAGCAGCAGCAGCAGACTCCTTCCGCCGCTGAGTGGCGGCGACGTCACCGCGGCGCTTGCGCCAGGCCGGGTGCACTCCCGAGACCACGTGAAGCGCGTCTTGAGGCTCGCTCGCTCGCTCGCTGCGGGCGTGGAGGTCACACGGCAGACCCAGGTGCCGTGGGTTGATTCCAGACGGCCGGCGGACGCCCCCCCCCCCCCGACTGTGCCAACTCGCCGCGTTTTATCCGCCCGGCGCTCCGCTCGTTGTGAGCGTCGCTCGTCCGCCCTGAACACCACTCACTGCCTCCAACTGCCCAGCGGCGTCCTTCACGAGCCTCCTCCTCCTCCACAGAGGTCGATCTTGGCACCGCTGGTATCGGTCATCGGCAAGTCCACTCAGCTCCATAGCTTCCTGTACCACATCAGCCCATCTCTTCTCCAGCCCGTGCCGCGCCCGTTTAGCTCCCTCTATCCGGTCAAACAGAAGCTGCCTGGGCACGCGGTGGCTGGACATGCAGGTTACGCGACAAAGCCAACGCATACACGAGCCTTCAGACAAAGACAAAGATCCCCCGTGTAGCCTGTAACAGACTGTTGGGGCAAGTGCTGTTAGCGAGCGCCTATGAAGGCCGGCACAGCACACGAGGGGGTGGGTGGCCAACACCACGTCCGGCCGCCTTTGTCTCCCCAGTGGCGATGTTTACAAATCGCACTAAGTACTCTTTGAGGCCGAGTCGACCTAGGGGAGGCCCAGGAGCGGTTCAGATAATCGTCACCGGTGTTGGCCGTGTATAGCGGTTAGCGTAGCGCTAACCGCTACACACACACACACACACAGACACGCGCTGTACACGCAGACACGCGCTGTACACGCACAGACACGCGCTGTACACACAGACACACGCTGTACACGCGATGTACACGCACAGACACGCGCTGTACACGCGCTGTACACACACAGACACGCGCTGTACACGCGATGTACACACACAGACACGCGCTGTACACACACAGACACGCGCTGTACACGCACAGACACGCGCTGTACACGCACAGACACGCGCTGTACACGCACAGACACGCGCTGTACACACACAGACACGCGCTATACACGCGCTGTACACACACAGACACGCGCTGTACACGCGCTGTACACACACAGACACGCGCTGTACACGCGTTGTACACACACAGACACGCGCTGTACACGCACAGACACGCGCTGTACACGCACAGACACGCGCTGTACACGCACAGACACGCGCTATACACGCGCTGTACACACACAGACACGCGCTGTACACGCGCTGTACACACACAGACACGCGCTGTACACGCGTTGTACACACACAGACACGCGCTGTACACGCACAGACACGCGCTATACACGCACAAACACGCGCTGTACACGCACAGACACGTGCTGTACACGCACAGACACACACAGACACGCGCTGTACACACACAGACACGCGCTGTACACGTGCTGTACACGCGCTGTACACACAGACACGCGCTGTACACGCACAGACACGCGCTGTACACACACAGACACACACAGACACGCGCTATACACACACAGACACGCGCTGTACACGTGCTGTACACGCACAGACACGCGGGGCCTACTCGAGCGGCAGGGCCACGGGGTCGGTCCGCGTCCGTGCCTCCAGGTCGGCGATGAGGCTCAGCTTCCACTTCCGCCGCTGGACCTGCAGTTGTCACACGGCGAGGAGGTGGTCACCCTCTTTGGTTTCATTCGGTAAAGTCACGTAGATAAAATCAAACAAAATAAAAGAAAACAATTAAATCACGACGTTTCGGAGGCAACACAAGCTTCCGTCTTCAGGTGGAATAGTCACAGAAGAAGAATATCTGTGTCAAGTGCACAGCTCTGAGACGATCGTGTTTATATCTAGGTTAGGGGGGGGGGGAGGAGCCAGAAAGTGGGTGGGTGGGACGACTGAGTTAAGCCGTTTTTTTTAAAGATTTGCGGTGGTCACCGTGACGACAAGGTAACCACGGTGATGAGGTGGAGCCCGCGATGACGGGGTGACGATACAGGTGGCGGCCGTAACCGCGGCGACGGGATGGGGAGACCGTGACGACGGGGTGGCGCCAATGACGAGGTGGCCATAATGATGAGGTGACGGTGGTGACCGGGGTGACGAGGTGGAGCTCGTGAGAGCGACGCGGGTGGGTGGGTGGGGGCCGTGCAGATCACGATGAGGTGTGATCCGGGGTGACGAGGTGACAGCGACGAGGTGCACACCCCCCCCACCTGCCACGTGCCCAGGGCGAACGCGGCCGTGGGGATGAGCAGCAGTAGCCACTTGAGGCCAAGCTCCCCCTCCTTGGCGAGGGGGGGCGCCACACCCCCTACATGTGGAGGGGAGGGGGGCGGGAGGTGAGGGGAGGGGGACGGGGGGCAAAGGGAGGGGGGCGGGGGGGAGGGGGGCAAGGGGAGGGGGGTGAGGGGGCGGGGTCGAGGGCGAGATGTTAACTGCAACTGTTTGAAGCTTTCGTGACTGCAGGAATCCATACTTTTGGTTCTACGTGACTTTACCCGAAAGAAACGGAGAGTATGCAGCTGTTTGCCTTACACAGAGGAACCGCATGCTGGCTGACTCATTACTCATCCGTTATGCAGGGTGCTTCAAGAAATGTTGTTTACACTTCTGAGAATTTGCAACAACACCACTAGAAGCGTGCTGCCGCCTCCGGGCTCTGCAGACCACCTGGAGAAGATCCCGTTGACATCGATGGCGAACAATACATTTGTTATCATCTTAAAGTGCATGATTATCACCCGTTCGTTTTCCCATTAAAAAACGATAGTCCTATGTAAGTGTTAACATTTTATTGAAGCACCCTGTATCATTACAATAACAGCCCCTCTCCTCCTGCCTCTGATGGGTTCACAGTGATGAGGTAGATGGCTTCACTGTTCGGCAAATCGCCCGGCGATGCTGGATGATGTAATTACGATGCTGGATGATGTAATTACGATGCTGGATGATGTAATTACGATGCTGGATGATGTCATTACGATGCTGGATGATGTAATTACGATGCTGGATGATGTAATTATGATGCTGGATGATGTAATTACGATGCTGGATGATGTAATTACGATGCTGGATGATGTAATTACGATGCTGGATGATGTAATTACGATGCTGGATGATGTAATTACGATGCTGGGTGATGTCATTACGATGCTGGGTGATGTAATTACGATGCTGGGTGATGCAATTACGATGCTGGATGATGTCATTACGATGCTGGATGATGTCATTACGATGCTGGATGATGTAATTACGATGCTGGATGATGTCATTACGATGCTGGATGATGTAATTACGAGCGAAACGTCGCAGTGCTCAAATTGTCAATGTTGTGGAGTTACTCTCCAACACACCGGTGGGTTGAAGTAGTAATTAACTTTTGATTTAAAGCTTTTGTGACTGCAGGGATTCATATTCTTGGTTCTTTCGGTAAAGTCACCACATAGAAGGGAAACAATAAAATAATAATAAATATATAAAACAATAAAATTCTCACGACGTTTCGACTGCAACACAAGCAATCATCGTCAGGTGTGAAAACCTTCTACGTGACTTTACCGAAAGAACCAAGAATATAGTAATTAACTGGCACGTTTACGTGACAAACCTTATTGGCCGTGTCAGGTTATGGAGTGTTACTACGCATACATATTCCTGCTTCTTTCGGTAAAGTCACGTAGAAGGGAAATAATAAAATAATACAAATATAAAACAATAAAATTCTCACGACGTTTCGATTGCAACACAAGCAATCATCATCAGGTGTGAAAACCACAGCAAGAACATTTTTAAAAAGTGGCGTTTTTTTTCTTAACGTTAGCACCACGGTCAGCGACTGGCGGTTGTTCAGACGGACGAGTCCATCTATGCTCGGAACGGAGGAGGGGGGAGATAGAAAAAGAACACTTACGCGATCTAACCCAAAAATATTTATAATGAATTGTTAACTCCCTCGCCTGGTATACAGGAGATCGTGGGTTTCAATCCCGACCCTCACGCCTGCTGTACATTTGGAGTTTGCGTGTCTCCCTCTTTCTCTCTCTCCCAGGTGGTCGCGTGGATTTTTCATCGGGTCCTCCGGCTTTTCCCCTCCACGTTTAGAATCAACGCCGCCACGCATTTTGAGCATTTCGGCTGCCGCTAGAAATGTCCACACGATGAAGACGACGACGATAAGCCACTTCGTTGAGCTATCATTAGCGATAGGCAGGTCGCTTCTGATAAAGAGCCACGTAGCTCAGTGGGCCTTACCTGGTCAAATAAAAATAAGTTTATAGGCAATGCGCAAGAGAGACCTGGGACGCACAGCGCTACACACAAAGATCAAGGTGCCCCGTGTCGCCCACACAGGCTGTGAGGGCAAGTGCCGTTCGCGAGCAGCACCTACGAAGGCCGGAACGGCACCGATGATGGGCTGGTGTGGCCAGCGCCAGCCCCCGGTGGTGATGTTCTTACAACAACAACCGCCATTCGGCACTAAGTGGCGGTGACGTCACCACGACGCTTGTGCCAGGCTACGTGCACCTTGAGGCCACGTGAAGTGTCGAATGTTCATACACACGCAGCGCCAGCCCCGGTGGTGATGTTCTTACAACAACAACCGCCATTCGCCACTAAGTGGCGGTGGCGTCACCACGACGCTTGTGCCAGGCTACGTGCACCTTGAGGCCACGTGAAGTATCGAATGTTCATACACACGCAGCGCCAGGCACAGTAACTCATTTAAGACCGAGTCGATCTAGAGGAGGTCCAAAAGAGTTTCAGATTTTTGTTCACCATCACAGCCATTGGCCGTGAGTGGGATTCAAACTCGGGTCCTTGCCGAGGTTCGGGGCGCAGCGCGCTAACCGCTGCGCCGCCGCTCCTCGCGCACGAGTGCTCGTTAGGCGCTAGCGGTTAAAAGTTGAAAGGTCGTAGGGTTTATGGTCAGGGTTAGTGGCAGGGTCAAGCATTTGGGAAGGACGTGAGAATCAGGAGTAGGGTTAGGATACAGCCAGGCGTTGGCCATTGGTACCAATGATCGGGTTAGCGCCGACCCTTCTGACCCCCAGCGCCGCCCACGTGTCAGGGCATGGGTTAGAGTCCGGGTTGAGGCTCCGCGCTTTCCTTCACCTGCGGAGGAGCTGAGCCGGCGACATGGGACCACGTGAACCCTGGGAAGGGGGTCACATCTGTGGGGGAGTGGAGGGCCGCGTCTGTAGGCCCGGATCACCTGCACGAGAGGGGGTGGGGGGCAGAGAGAGGGGGGCATAGTGATGGGCTGCACCACGGTCATGAGATGTTAACTACCTCGCCTGGTGTACAGGAGGTCGTGGGTTCAATCCCGACCCTGACGCGTGCTGCTGTATATTTGGAGTTTGCGTGTCTCTCTCTCATCATCATCACGGTGGCTATGAGATGTTGACTACCTCACCTGGTGTGCAGGAGGTCGTGGGCTCGATCCCGACCCTGACGCATGCTGCTGTGTATTTGGAGTTTGCGTGTCTCTCTCTCTCATCATCATCATCACGGTGGCTAGGAGATGTTGACTACCTCGCCTGGTGTGCAGGAGGTCGTGGGTTTGATCCCAACCCTGACGCCTGCTGTTGTATATTTGGAGTTTGCGGTGTCTCTCTCCCCATGGTCGCGTGGATTTTTCTCCGGGTCCTCCGGTTTTTCCCTCCACATTTAAAAAAAAGGACATGCCTCCATATTATTTAGGGTATTTGGCTGCTATAATTGTCCACGCGATAAGCCACTTCGTTGAGCTATCATTTGTGGCCAGGTCGTTTCTTGCAAAAGAGCTACGTAGCTCAGTGGACCATCCTTACCTGGTTAAATAAACAATATTTTAGTTTTATTAGGCGCTCGCAAACAGCACTTGCCCCAAGAGTATGTGAAAGGCTACACGGGGGACCTTTGCCTTGGTTGTGGTAGTGTTAACTGGCTGTGTGACAGAGCGTGGGGAGCGGTCGTGTAGCGGTTAGCGCTACGCTGCGCTAGGAACCTGGCGACCAGAGTTCAATTCCGCTCCGTGCCAACACCGGTGATGATTATTTGAACCGGTCCTGGGTCTCCCCTAGGTCGACTCGGCCTCAAATGAGTACCTGGTACGGTGTGTAAACATCGCCACTGGGGAGACAAAGGTGGACGGGCGTGGTGCTGGCCACCCACCCCCTCGTGTGTTGTGCCAGCCTCAATCGGTGCTACTCGCGAACAGCACTTTCCCCTACAGTCTGTTAAAGGCTATTTGGGGGATCTTTGTTTGCGTGTGAGTTGGGTGAGCGCGAGTGAGAGTCGGTGAGCGGTGAGCGAGAACCGGTAAGCGGTGAGCGGGTGAGCTGTGAGCGCGAGCGGGTGAGCGGTGAGCGAGAGCGGGTGAGCGGTGAGCACGAGTCGGTGAGCGGTGAGCGGGTGAGCGGGTGAGCGGTGAGCGAGAGCCGGTGAGCGAGTGCGGGTGAGCGGTGAGCGAGAGCGAGAGCGGGTGAGCGGTGAGCGCGAGCGGGTGAGCGGTGAGCGAGAGCGGGTGAGCGGTGAGCGAGAGCGGGTGAGCGGTGAGCGAGAGCCGGTGAGCGAGAGCGGGTGAGCGGTGAGCGAGAGCGAGTGAGCGGTGAGCGAGAGCGGGTGAGCGGTGAGCACGAGTCGGTGAGCGGTGAGCGAGAGCCGGTGAGCGAGAACGGGTGAGCGGTGAGCGAGAGCCGGTGAGCGGGTGAGCGGGTGAGCGGGTGAGCGGTGAGCGAGAGCAGGTGAGCGCGAGTCGGTGAGCGGTGAGCGGGAGTCGGTGAGCGGTGAGCGAGAGCGGGTGAGCGGTGAGCGAGAGCCGGTGAGCGGGTGAGCGGGTGAGCGCGAGTTGGTGAGGGCGAGTGGGTGAGTGGTGAGGGCGAGTGGGTGAGTGGTGAGGGCGAGTGGGTGAGTGGTGAGTGGGCGAGTTGGTGAGGGTGAGTGGTGAGGGTGAGTGGGTGAGTGGTGAGGGCGAGTGGTGAGTGGTGAGGGCGAGTGGGTGAGTGGTGAGTGGGCGAGTGGTGAGGGCGAATGGTGAGGGTGAGTGGTGAGGGTGAGTGGGTGAGTGGTGAGGGCGAGTTGGTGAGGGTGAGGGCGAGTGGGTGAGTGGTGAGTGGTGAGGGCGAGTGGGTGAGTGGTGAGTGGGTGAGTGGTGAGGGCGAGTGGTGAGGGTGAGTGGTGAGTGGTGAGGGTGAGTGGGTGAGTGGTGAGGGCGAGTTGGTGAGGGTGAGTGGTGAGGGCGAGTGGGTGAGTGGTGAGTGGTGAGGGCGAGTGGGTGAGTGGTGAGGGTGAGTGGTGAGTGGGTGAGTGGGCGAGTGGGCGAGTTGGTGAGGGCGACTGGTGAGGGCGAGTGGGTGAGTGGTGAGGGTGAGTGGGTGAGTGGTGAGGGTGAGTGGTGAGGGCGAGTGGTGAGTGGTGAGTGGTGAGGGCGAGTGGGTGAGTGGTGAGGGTGAGTGGGTGAGTGGGCGAGTTGGTGAGGGCGAGTGGTGAGGGCGAGTGGGTGAGTGGTGAGGGTGAGTGGGTGAGTGGTGAGGGTGAGTGGTGAGGGCGAGTGGGTGAGTGGTGAGGGCGAGTGGGTGAGTGGTGAGGGTGAGTGGGTGAGTGGGCGAGTTGGTGAGGGCGAGTGGTGAGGGCGAGTGGTGAGGGTGAGTGGGTGAGTGGTGAGGGTGAGTGGTGAGGGCGAGTTGGTGAGTGGGCGAGTTGGTGAGGGTGAGTTGGTGAGGGTGAGTGGGTGAGTGGTGAGTGGGCGAGTTGGTGAGGGTGAGTGGGCGAGTTGGTGAGTGGGCGAGTGGGTGAGTGGTGAGTGGGCGAGTTGGTGAGGGTGAGTGGTGAGGGTGAGTGGTGAGTGGGCGAGTTGGTGAGTGTCGCTGTCTCACCGTGACTCGGCAAGACTGGGACCGCCACATCAACATCAGCGTTGACATCTCTACGCAGAGACTACAGCGACAACAACAACATCCTATCAACAACAATCAACAACAACAATTAACAACAAACAACAACAACAATCAACAACAACATCGTCAGCTCCACCACCACCACTCACCTGCACCGCTCTGCCCGAGTCGATTATCGAACTCGCCGGAATCGATTCAGTAAAAGGAAATCGCCGTCATGGAATCGATTCGCAAGGAGACAGTTTGCGGGGTTTCGATGCAGACTTCGCGATTAAAAAAATCGATTCCTTTGGTGGAACCGCGACGCGTGCGTGTGCTTCACAAGCGGTGGGAATCGGGAGTTGATGTTGGATCGATTCACTTTACCCGCTACCCCCCCTTTCAAGACGATTCTACTAAATGACGCGATTAACACTCAATCGATTAGGTAATGATGTGACGACTGCAGCGGCCTCTAGCGGCTGCAGAGGCCACGGACAATCCGTGTGGGGGTCACAGGTCGTGTGGGGGTCACAGGTCGTGTGGGGGTCACAGGTCGTGCGGGGGGTCACAGGTCGTGCGGGGGTCACAGGTCGTGTGGGGGGGTCACAGGTCGTGTGGGGGTCACAGGTCGTGTGGGGGTCACAGGTCGTGTGGGTCTCGCACCGTGACGTGAGTGCCGGCTAGTGAGACTGTTCTTGTGAATAATTAGACGTGGCTACTGGAGTTACAGTCCACCATTAAGTATTAACATCTTCTTTGGTTCTTTCGGTAAAGTCACCACCACGTAGAATGAGAATAAAATAATAAATTGATAGAATAAAATAACACTATAATATTCTCACGACGTTTCGGCCACAACACAAGCGGCCTTCATCAGGTGAAGGGGACGAGACTGTCTGGAGGACAGCGCTGGAGTGAAAAAGCCATGCTCAGATCGCGACCTTTAAGCCTCAACTTTCGCGATCTGAGCGTGGCTTTTTCACTCCAGCGCTGTCCTCCAGACAGTCTCGTCCCCTTCACCTGATGAAGGCCGCTTGTGTTGTGGCCGAAACGTCGTGAGAATTTTATTGTGTTATTTTATATTATTAATTTATTATTTTATTCTCATTCTTCGTGACTTTACCGAAAGAGCCAAAGAAGATGAATCCTTGCAGTCACGAAAGCTTTAAATCGAAATTTAAGTATTAACAGTTACAAACGAACGCTTGACCGTAGCTTTTTCGTCTCCCCCCCCCCCTCCTCTTTTCCGAACACAGATGGACTCGTCCATCTGAACAAAACTGTCAAATCGCTCTCCGTGGTGCTAACGTTAAACAAAAATAAACAAACACAAAACGACACTTCTTTCAAATTTTCTTGCCATGGTTTTCACACCTGACGACGATTGCTCGTGTTGCAGTCGAAACGTCGTGAGAATTTTATCGTTTTATATTTTTTATTACTTTATTGTTTCCCTTCTACGTGACTTTACCGAAAGAACCAAGAATATGAATACTCTTTGGTTCTATTCGGTAAAGTCGCGTAGGTAAAAATAAAATAACAAAAAATCACGACGTTTCGGCCACAACACAAGTGGCCTTCATCAGGTGAAGGGACCGGACTGTCCAGGGGACAGCGTTGGAGTGAAGACAGCCAAGCCCAGGTCGCGTCCTTTAAGCTGTGTGGGAGGAAACAAAAAACGCCTTGACAAAGGAATTACAATAAAATGATGTACTGGACCGGCACGGTGGGGGGGGGGGGGAGTTTACATAATGTTGGTATGAAAGGAAAGCTTCAAATCTAGAAAAGAATATGATTCAGTTTAACACGTAGGCTTTCGCGACCAATATTATTCATAATAAAGGTTTTTGGGTTAGATCGCGTTTATTTATAAATGTGTCGTAACCCTCCACCACCCGACACGGCCAATCAGCAAAAAAAAAAGTGTCACGTTGACAAAAGACAAAAATAATTCACTACTTCAGCCCACCGGTGTGTTGAAGAGTGAATCCACATTTACAGTTTGAGTACGACGTTTCGCTGGTAAATACATCCAGCATCATCGGGCAATACCATTCTGGCGAATTTCCCGATGATGCTGGATGTATTTACCAGCGAAACGTCGTACTCAAACTGTAAATGTTGTGGATTCACTCTTCAACACACCGGTGGGCTAAATTAGTGAATTATTTGTCGTTTGTCAACGTGACACTTTTTTTTGCTGATTGGCCGTGTCGGGTGGTGGAGGGTTACGACACATTTATAAATAAACGCGATCTAACCCAAAAACCTTTATTATGAAGAATATGATTCCCTGCAGTCACGAAAGCTTTAAATCAAAATTTTACAGTAGCTATTAACAGACAACCCCTTCAATGGTCACAAAGTATCATTGCTGCTACATCATAAACGAATTTATATTACAAATAGTAAAATATTTCGCGAACGTATCCAATTATCGCGGAGAGTATATCGCGCGATATCGCGATAATCGTTACATCGCGATTTATCGATTCGTTACCGACGATTGCAAATCGGAATCGGTTGCTCGAAAGCCCCGGATGGTGTCGCGTCACGTGACGGGAAGTGCGGCCCCCCTCCCTCCGTCCACTTCCGGCGCGCACCCCACGCGGAGCAGCAATGGCGGGGGCCGAGGCGGCGCTGCAGAAGAAGCTCAAAGCGGAGCTGGAGCGTTACCAGGGCCTGCAGAAGGGTGAGGGGGGGGGGGGGGAGCGGGGGTGGGGGTGAGGGAGGGGGGAGCCAGGGTGAGGGAGGGGGGAGGGGGGAGCCAGGGTGAGGGGAGGGGGGGGGGCAGGATGAGGGAGGGGGGAGCCAGGGTGAGGGGAGGGGGGAGCCAGGGGGAGGGGGGAGCCAGGGTGAGGGAGGGGGGGAGCCGGGGAGGGGGAGGGGGGAGCCAGGGTGAGGGAGGGGGGAGGGGGGAGCCAGGGTGAGGGAGGGGGGAGCCAGGGTGAGGGGGGAGGGGGGCGCCAGGGTGGGGGGAGGGGGGAGCCAGGGTGAGGGAGGGGGGAGCCAGGGTGAGGGAGGGGGGAGCCAGGGTGAGGGAGGGGGGAGGGGGGCGCCAGGGTGGGGGGAGGGGGGAGCCAGGGTGAGGGAGGGGGAGCCAGGGTGAGGGAGGGGGGAGGGGGGGAGCCAGGGTGGGGGAGGGGGGTGCCAGGGTGAGGGAGGGGGGAGCCGGGGAGGGGGAGGGGGGAGCCAGGGTGAGGGAGGGGGGAGGGGGGAGCCAGGGTGAGGGAGGGGGGAGCCAGGGTGAGGGGAGGGGGGAGCCAGGGTGAGGGAGGGGGGAGCCAGGGTGAGGGAGGGGGGAGGGGGGGAGCCAGGGTGAGGGGAGGGGGAGGGGGGAGCCAGGGTGAGGGAGGGGGGAGCCAGGGGGAGGGGGGAGGGGGGAGCCAGGGTGAGGGAGGGGGGAGCCAGGGTGAGGGAGGGGGGAGCCAGGGTGAGGGAGGGGGGAGCCAGGGTGAGGGGAGGGGGGAGGGGGGGAGCCAGGGTGAGGGGAGGGGGAGGGGGGAGCCAGGGTGAGGGGAGGGGGAGGGGGAGCCAGGGGGAGGGGGGGAGCCAGGGTGAGGGAGGGGGGAGGGGGGGAGCCAGGGTGAGGGAGGGGGAGGGGGGAGCCAGGGTGAGGGGAGGGAGGAGCCAGAGTGAGGGAAGGGGGGAGCCAGGGAGGGGGGAGCCAGGGTGAGGGAGGGGGGAGCCAGGGTGAGGGAGGGGGG